TGCTTCACCCGACACACTCGAATTACTACGTGAGCTGAGACTAAGGTAATAAGAGTGATGCATGTAACTTGAATAGATTGCTGATGGAACTGAAGAAAAAAACTTTGAAAAGTAATAGTGAACGACGCAATACTACACGGATCAGAAAATGTGAAGTACGAAGTACAAATTTCAGGCACGATGCTCGTGCTCTTGAGAGACGATAATAAGACATTAAGATGAACATACATCTTACAGAGGACGTGATTCACGTGGTGTTAATGGATACGATTGTATTTTCGCCAACGGCGACGATGAATGTGCGAAAATTAACAATCGCTGCGTTGGAGCAGGTCCCAAACGATTATCTTTCGAGCATTTTCTTAAACGCTTAGCGCACAGAAGTCCAAGCCCGTGGAAAGGTCAGCAGAGGTGCCTCTACACGAGCTGTCCTCTCGAACTCGGTCCGAAGAGAAAGCCCTTCGGATTGCCCACACACAGGTGAGCACGGCGTCTGCGCCTGCGCAGACGAGATACGACAACATCCCGCTAACCCCGCTGGCTATTCTTCGCTCTCACATTGCCGTGGTGTCTTTTTGCGCGCGCTGCCTGTGTGCGGTTTCCTGTATTTTTTTTTCTTTTGACGTCACTAACCCGGTCCTGCGTCGACCGCTGTGCGTTAACGCTGCTTCTTGATTTCGATGCTTCCCGTCCAATTACAGCTCTTGACAGCTAGCGTGGGCTCCTGTTTATTTTCCTTTTTTAATACGTCACAATATTTCGCATATCGTTCGCTACAAGGACAAGTGGTAAATAATATAAACTCGTTCGTGAAAATATCACAGAGATTACAGTTGTCGATCTGTGAAGTTGACTGCCGCCGTGTTCTGGTTATCTTATTATCATCGCCACCCGAAATGACCAGAAATTTTCCTCTGTTTCGCGCACAGCTAGGGGCGCTCCAATCGTCATAACGGTCGCAAGAGCTCGCAATGAGAACACGAATGACTTGTGTAAATGCAGAAACGATCTCGTAAGTAGTTCAGTTGATATTTCAAAAATTTTAGTATATTTGCAGGGTGCTCGTCGTACCTCACTGAAAGGCTGATGAAAGACCGACGAAGGGCTCGCAGTGAGCTCACAGAAACCATCATAAAGATAATCGTGAATTCAATTTCGCACGATGAATACCTAAAATAATCTTGGTTATGTAATTACACATAGAGGACCCATAGACGGTTCATAAACGGTTCGAAGAAAGCTTCACAGATGGATCACATAGAACTCGCCGAAGTCTCAAACTTATCCATAAAAATGGTTCCCAGGGGGCTCATAAAGCACCCACGAATGACTTATAAAGGACGCGCAAACGGCCCACAAAAGGTGAAAAGCGAGCGTCGATAGAATATACGCCACACATATCCAGAAAGGTAATCTCCAGAAGGTATATCTCCAGAGAGGTAAAGTTGACGTCCACGTGTGCGATACTGTTGGGAAGATCACGTGATGTAGGTCATGTACAATCGACGGTAGAATTGTGAAGATTTTTTTTTTTACTCAATGATGGATTTGTATCGTCAGTGGAAGAAGGAGAATATATAAAAATTCGAGCGAGAACGATGGCACGTCAGCTAAGCACGAAAATGTTAGATGTTTCCATCCGGTCACTGCCGTAATATGCCAGGCGCTGTTAAAACGGCATGAATAAAAGAAACGGTTTTGTTTAGTGTATTTACGATCTTATTACATCCTAAAGTCTGTTAAAAGCCGTATTAATGAAGCTAAGTCCAATACTAAACACAATGGCTTCGGGGCTATCACAGGCCTCCGACAAGCGCCCCTAATGAGACATAATTTGACAATGTCACGGTATTCACTTGCTTCTGGTGAGGGTGGGTAGTTATGCGGATACAAGAAAAATCTGTAATGTTTGCGGTCTTACTGTCAGTTAGTAAACCATCAGTAATCTTCATAATGGTTATACCTGCGTATGCTACATCAAATCGCAAGTATCAATTTGAAGCAGGGTTTTTTTTTTCTTTTACTCGTCTTAAAGCCCGTTTCCTTTCTTACTCTTGTTGAGCGTAGCGTAAAGCCGAAAGTGCAAGAAACGGGCGTCTAAGCTGCATTGTTGTATTGTTGGTTACCTGCGCACTCAACAATATTAATGCAGCTACAATGGGGAAACAAAGCAAATTACTAGAGTGGCTGTACGTACAGCCAGTGCAGGGAAATGATTAGCAAAATAAAATTAATGAATAAGTACATAGATTTCTGTTAGTTTGTGAATAGCAATATCGACTAATTGAGCAGAGCCACTGCTTTCACCGTATACTGCAAAAGTTAGAGTCACCCAAAAAAAAAAATCATGTGCCCGCATCGAAAGAACTGAGTTATATACAGAGCCAAACGAGGCAAAATTGATGAGCTATGCAAACAAGTTCACTTCACTATAGTTCAGAACTCAGCAGCGGGAAGAAAGCCATGTTACGAAGAGTTCACAGATAGCTTCTCTTTTTTCTTTTTCAATTGTGACTTCAGAGTACAAATGCTTAGAGGGTAAGTTTGCAATGATAAATGAATAAAACGTGTGTGTAAATACACCAAGTCTCACAACCTCGCGTGTGCGAGCTTAATAACCAAGAGAGCACAATCAATACAACGAAACGTAATTAAGCCATTCAGTATTTACGTGCGTTTATAACGGTGCACCCTACAACGCGCATAAAACTATACCACTCAGTACAGTCGAGTTGCGATTCGATATCGTTGCCCAATGTCCGAATTTTAGTGCAAGTGTGCCGGAAGTTACCAACAGTTTTGAGTGAAATATTCACTTCATTGCAACGGTTGTTTCCTTCGTTTATGTTACATTCTATAGGACACACAGAGCCGGTGAATCCTTTCCTAATAAAAACACAATTGCGTACGTTCTTACGAAAACGATGCCGTTTAAATATACCCGAATCGCCATGCTATTCTTTTTCACCTCTTTCTTCCTGAACCGTACTATTAATATTTCATTTAAAAAGTCGCTCAGTGTACTACAAAAGCCTCAGACGGGAAACGTATATATCGTAAGCGGAAACCATCATTATGGAAAAAAATACAAGTCAGCATTGCGTTTTCAAAAAAGGATGACTCCTGCTGTTATGTTTGAAAGCAAGAGTGTCCTTCTTTGGCACCATATATAACCACACTGTATGCTACGCAATAATAAACGGTTGCAGCTTGCATCTTACACGTATACGCACACACATCACACTGGTGGTTATGCTCAGTGGTGCAATGAGAGCGTTACCAAGACAAGTGCCACCAATAAGCATACGCAAGAACGGGCTTTGGCCAAGATTAAAAATATTTCAGGTGCGCTAAAATAAAACGGAAGTAAAAGTCCGTCGTCGGCCATTTTATAAAAAAAAACAAGCAATTATTTTCCGCTCTATTTAGTTCAGTAAACAACGAACGCAAATTACTCGATTCCTAATGTTGTAGGTAATTTGTGTCGTGGAAATGAGTGGTATAGTAGGGGATCAAGCATCAAAAATTACACACAAGGACGAAGTAGTCCGCAAGAGAGTTAGCGTCTCTCGTAAGTGTTCCGTGGTTCCGGGACACTAAACACCATCAATCATTATTACACACTGCACGGGCTCTCAAGTAATATGTGAACAAGAACTCGCAATGTTAGAGTTCCAAAGCATTCCGTAAAACATTTGTTCACGTAAATGTCGTGGATTTAACGATCAAGTTTCATTTTCTTTTCTTTCGCTCGCCACTTTCATTTCTTTTCTCTCAATTACGTGCGTCACGCTTATTATTTCTTACCCGTAATGTCGCCCTGTAGCATTACGCGAACGAATTATGCGCTCACTTGCACTAAATGAAGTTAGCTCTGAAAAGATTACAAGCTGCGCGAACCTTACGCTCACAAATGGTAGACAGGTGGCCTGTAGACTTGGCCCTGCAACACTTTTTGAGCATGATCATAAAACGCTGCCCATCGGTAGTAGAGGCTCCCGACAACACACGAGCCAAAATATTATAGCACAGCACGCGGCCTGGAATTCACAATAAATTACCAAAGTCAGCTAAAAACTGTTTTCTATTCTCTCGACAAATGGCGGAATATGCCCAAAAATCACACGTGGATTACCCATCAATCAGCCATTGGCCGATTCGAACATGGCGCGCTCGCTCGTTACAGAGATAGCCGCGGGAGGCCGCGACTTGTCCACGCGTGCGCGCACAATCACACCGAGAAAGCGGCGCATTCGAAGGGGGAAAAAAAGAGAAAAAGTGCTCAAGGCCACGAGGTGCGCGTGACGTTTTTCTGTGGCCCTTTCGCCGGGACGAGAGAAGAGAGAATGCAATTGCAGCATGCGACAAAACCTTTGTAACTCCACTCGCACTGAACGGATTCTTAAAATTTTTGCGGCGTTGAATTCGCGAGGCAGTAAGCTTTTCCAGGGAATTCATTATGTGGTTACTTGAAAAAGCGTTCCAGGGCCCCTTTAAGTGTAGCCCCTACATTCAACAGGCATAGTGGCACCTATATATGCAAGCGCAGTCTCGTGAAATTTAGGTAGATATATTGGAGTAGTTGCGAAAGAGAAGGTGGCACATAGCTTAGAAGCTGTACTCTCCTTGATTTCAACTGTCTTTTCTCCTTTTCTTTTTTGGGGGGAGGGTGGAGGGGGCGCACAACAGTGTACAGGTTTTACGCGCGAAGTAAAGCAGAGTGTGGGCTTAGACCTTTTCATTAGGCCTTACCACGATGCGGTAGCAGATGCAAAGGATTTAAAAAACAACAACAAATGAGCTTTGAAACATAACAAATAAACAAAGACATAATAATGATTACAGTAAGCATATGACCACCCCAATACAGTAATGACATAATGACAGTAGTGAACATAATGTAATGATGTCAGAGAATTGGATCATTCTTTCGTTGAAAAATGTTGATAATGAGCTTGTCAGGGAAATTACATCATGTCTACTTCTCCCTCTTTTCCAAGACACTCCCAAGAATGCCTTCGCCAAGTTCCAACAAATGGACCAGGCTACCAAGCCGGCAAGGCCTAGGTGGGTATGAAGCGCTCCTTCAAACATTTCTCATTGCATGTAACCATAGATGGAGTGTGTGTACTCGCTCAACACGCGTTCCATAAACCGACCTAAAATGCTACGCATTCTATTTTCGAAGAAACCCCGAAACACTTCTCGCTGGCGCACGCTTTTCGAGAAATTTTACGTTTTGTCCTTTATATGTTTTTGTAATATTTTCTTTACGCTTTCTTTTCTGCAGACACTTGCCATAATACATTTATTCACCGCTTATGGAATTTTTGTTGTCGTTTAAAAATAAACCCATGTCAAGATGAAAAGTCTCCTCTTTTTGCGTTTAAATATACTAAAGTGGCAGTTGCCTTCTGAAACACCAAGGATGCAGCTTGTAATGACACACAGAACCTGTCGTTAACTAACAAGATAATGCGATATTAAGTAGCTTCATGTTCACTTCTGTGACATTGACATGAAGCTGTGGGACTCGACAGAGCGATTTAATGACGGTGTATGTTTATAATTGCAGCTTCAGCGTTCCTGTTCGTGGAGGGACTACACGGAGCGCGAGCGACATCAAGGAGATGCTGCTGAACTGGTGTAAAAGCAAGACCAAAGGATACGAGGTGAGAGGGTGGACAATCTACGAGAGCTCTTGTACACGGCTTGTGCCCGACATGCAGAAGATGGCCGTTCATTAAAAAGAAAAAAAAACAGACTGAACTTGGTGCTTTAGTGTGGCATGCGCAGGTTTAGACTGGTCGATCAGCATAGAAGAGGCCCTAGAACACTTATTCAAGTGATCATCGAATGGCTTTACCGAAAGAGTTTATAGCCCTATGAATCAACCGCCACACACAAAGAAAAATTAATTCGTTAAGCACAACCGGAGTTACAGAGTTCCTTTCGCACCAGTAAGCGCACCTAAAGATACTAGGAGTCGTAGGGCCCCGCCGCCGTGGTCTAGTGGCTCAGGTACTCGGCTGCTGACCCGCAGGTCGCGGGATCGAATCCCGGCTGCGGCGGCTGCATTTCTGATGGAGGCGGAAATGTTGTAGGCCCGTGTGCTCAGATTTGGATGCACGTTAAAGAACCCCAGATGGTCGAAATCTCCGGAGCCCTCGAAATCTCCGGAGCCCTCTACTGCGGCGTCTCGCATAGTCATATGGTGGTTTTGGGACGTTAAACCCTACATATCAATCAATCAAGGAGTAGGGGGAGGGGAGTTTGACAATGAGGCAGGGAGCTACGTCCTTTCGTGACAGCGCGTCATGACCTTAAGCACCTTCTTTTTGTTTCGTCCAACGCGCAATGCGATTTAAACTTCAATGAGATTTCAAGCAAGCGCGCGAACACGTTGCGACGTTCCGCGGCGGCCGCTGTGACTGCGCAGCTCCCGATGCTCAAATCAGCCAATGACCGTGAACTCTGCGTTTATGGCGCGGTCGTATACGGTATACAAGATATATTTGTGGCACCATTTGTCTAAAGAAGAACCACCAATTTCCAGCTGACTGAAAATTATTGGCGAATTCCGGGCCACGCGCTGCGCTGTAATGCTTGGCTCACGTGAACCACGAAATGACCAACGATAATGTAACTTCTCTGTTCATCAATGTATAGGTTTAGCGGATGATGATGATTGGGGTTTAACGTCCCAAAACTACCATATTAATATGAGAGACGCCGTAGTGAATGGCTCCGGAAATTTCGACCACATGGGGTTCCTTAACGTGCACCCAAATCTGAGCACACGAGCCTACAGCATTATCGCCTCCATCGAAAATTAAGCCGCCGCAGCCGGGATTCGATCCCGCGACCTGCGGGTCAGCAGCCAAGTACGTTAGCCACTAGACCACCGCGGCGGGGCTAGGTATTGCTGAGGCATCTACTGTGAAGATAAAATACTGTTTTATATGACCCAGCCCTACAGGCTGGCGACTGGGCCTTCGCGCTCACTTTTGCATGAAGGAAAGATGTTCCCATCCCTAAGTCAGCCAGCATCCTCTAGAAAACTTAAATCAAAGAGGTACTGCGGGAACATACGGGAGAACTAGAGCGACCTGCGGTATGCGTAAAATACATCGTCACATGGTGTCCTAATTCATGTGTGACGCGCAGCACGTGGACATCCAGAACTTCTCGACGAGCTGGAACGACGGCATGGCGTTCTGCGCGCTCATCCACCACTTCTACCCGGACGCCTTCGACTACGAGCAACTGGAGCCCAAGAACCGCAGGCACAACTTCGACCTCGCCTTCCGCACCGCTGAGTACGTGAACTTGTCCGAGTTTGTCCCTATTACCCTATAGACAGTTATAGGGATAACACACCGCTGTTTTACAGCAGAGCTGTTACATAAGGTCGAGGTGTGTCGTAGATAGAGAGTTATCATCACCACAAAACGGCACGCCCTCTCTTGGGGCTCTTCTTCAATGTCCTTTTTTTGGTCTCGCTCACAAAACACGATTTGTCTGGTTTCAGCTGCAATAACTCTGAGCCACAAGAGAATGAGTACAAAGAGAGATAAAGATTAAAGGGACACTAAAGCCGAATAACAATTTAAGTCAGAGTGAAAGACGAATGTGTGACATCTAAAAAGACAATATTTTCAACAGCAGCGACCTACTTACCGAGAAATTAATGTAAATTTACGAGGTTACATGCACCACGAATAGGACATTCGTAAAATGATCCCGATGATGTCACGAGTTACAGCCTACAATTCATCACTAGTAATTGAACTAGCTGCACTAAGTAAACGGCCTTCAGTGCATTAAGAGACGTAATAAAATGCTGCTTGTTCGTTTCTGTTTGAATCATGAAAAAAACACACCAAACGTTATACTATGGGGAATGTCGCGAAAGGTTCAAAAGTTTCTCACCTGGTTAAACTGCACAAGCTGTGCCATCTAGCGGGGCCAAGTTGAACTAAGCACATCTGCCATCTCGGAGCCAATTACAGGAAAATGTTCGACGAACGTTGTTGCTGCTGTGGTTCCCTCTTCCTTCGTTCCGCTGCTACTAGTGTCGGCGGCAGCGCAGTAAAGCCGGGCAACGTTGTACACGGCAACAGTGACGCGAGTTTCCAGTTGAGGCGGGTAATTTGAAGAATGTTAACGCGATGCGGACCACTAAAACGCGATCTTATTTCAAAATAAGCTCTTCCTTGGCACAAAAGTAGCACTACAATGTTTCTGGACTGCTATTTCAGCAATAAATATCGGCTTAATATTTGCCTTTAGTGCCCCCTTAAAGATAGAGAGAAAACATAAGGAGAAAGTCAGGGAGGTTAAGCGGGGCTGAGCTCCGGTAGGCTACCCTGCACTGAGGAAGGGGAGAGGGGAAAGGAAAGTTATTGAAGAGGAGAGAAAAGGTCACTTACTGGGCCGACGCGCAACAGTTTCACCATCACAAACGATGAAACAGGCCGGTGTCTTTGAGACAACGCAACAGCGCTTCCGTTGCCTTTCGGAATTGCGATGGGCAGTGCCATGGTCCCAATACTTTCTCTACAGTGAAATCACTTCTGTTCAGTTGATTTGAGACAAGTGATTTCACTGTCCCTTTAAGAGAGAAAGAGAAACCATAGTGTACTCTGTTTTAGTCCATGCGGTCCCTCGAGCCAGTGATATGAAACTACAGAACTCGCCGAAGCCTTTTATCCATGGAGATACGAGTTGATGTCATTCTATTGCTCTCCAACAGAAATGCACATAAACAAAGAACGCGAAATACAAACTTCCGTGTTTTCTAGTACATGTCTTAACTCTTCATCAAATCCACCTGGATTTATTTGCAAGAGGCAATGTATTCTCGCCGTGTATCGCGATGTCCCGTGTTACCCCACTGACGTCATACGCTTCTTGTCCAGGGAGCAAGCGGGTATCTCACCGTTGCTCGACACGGAGGACATGGTGCTGATGAAGAAGCCCGACTGGAAGTGCGTCTTCACCTACGTGCAGAGCCTGTACCGCAACCTCGTCAACAAGGACTGATCACCTGTCGTAGAGAGCCAACTCGCACATATCTAGTCTCTTTAACGTTTACTTTTAACGTTGTATTTTTTCAATCGCGAAGAAAGAAAAAGAAAGCAATACTGCGCGTTCACGAGTGCACGCAACGCCTCTCGCATTTCCTCGACAATGGGAAACATCGGTGTGTTTTTTAGGAATGGATTTTTTCACTCGTGATATGGGCATTTTTCTTGTTTGTATAAAGACGAGACTTTTTGTACTTGTCTTGCGACGTTTGCATTCAGATAGTGTATTGATGAACAACAAATACAGGCTGGACCTTGAATGAAGAAGCACGTTTGTAATGCAATACACGCGAAATGACTAGCGGTAGGTATTCCTTGACTTGTCTACTCGTAGCTGAAATCGAGCAGCATGAACTCGCCGATACCGAGAAGAGAGGCGTTATATCTCAATGAACAGCAGCGTTTCTTGTGCCCGTGGCTTATGACGTAGTTTCTCCTGCGTTCGCTGCAATGTTTCAAGTTGGATCAACGTTTATCAGTCTCACTAAATTAAGCTGGACAGGTTGAAAACAGAAGAGAGGACGAAAAAAACTAAGTAGCTCATCACGCTACACTGCTTGAAAGCAAAGTTACATACATCACGCAAAGAAAGAAGTCACGATCAACACGAAGGAAAGGCGTTCCAATTACGCTCCTTCGAAAAGGCCCGTGGATCGGAACAAACGCAGCGTAGTTTGTACATGCCTTCCTTCTGCGACGTTATATCGTGTCAGTGCTGCGGGCTTCTTTATCGCGTGTATATACACGCAAAGCTTATTCCTTCACTGTAGTCGTGATAGAGCCCTTTAAAAGTGAGCGTGGATTGCAACCCGAATGTGGATTGTGATTAGGCAGACAGTTGGCATAATGAAGACTGATATTCTCTTGTTTTATGAGTCCCCTTTTACTGCGCGGTTTTGTGTGTCTGCTGTACCATCATCTGTGCCATACAGGTGTGTCGGCACTCGCTGTCGAGTAGAGCCTGTATACGCCCGAGAACATACTGATGATGACCCTCACGCTTTCTGTAACGCGCCCTCATTTGCTGTATAGTGAGATCTTTTGTAAGCTGAATAAAAAAAAAACACTATGAAGACAAACAAGACCACCTCACAGATACTCACTGAATGTCGTACGAATAAAATATAAAATGCTGTTAAGGATTTTAAACGTATAACCTGTGAAGCTTCTGAAAAATGCCTAAGAGGAGAACGTAGGGTTTCTTTTTTTTGTGTGTGTGGGGGGGGGGGGGGGGCGTGAGTGCGTATACCCGAGGTTAGTTGATATTTAATTGTTTGATTTTTGTAATATTTGATTGTCACGACGGGAGAACTCCAAGTATACACTTGGTGCACTTAAGAGGGGCTTTACGTGCACTGCGACTGGCGCGCCGCCGGGTGGCCGTCAAAGCAGACAGTCGTTGAGGGGCCGAGCAGGACCAAACGCTCTTCGAACGCCCGCTAGCAGGTGGTCTATCAGAATCATTAACTGTTGCGTCTTCGATTGGACCAACAGGTACACCTCATGTCCTGCGGGAACAACGTTTTACAGTTTGTCGACTCGTCCCTGCTTTATTCGGTAGCGACATAGGTGGATCAAGGCTTCGCAACGCAAGAAGTGTTTGGTTCCCACTGCCTCTGACGTCTCCCGTTCTGTACCGCTGCATGCTTGAATTGGTCTTCCTCTGCAGGTGCAATGATCCTGCGTGATGTTCCAGCTGCCGTATAGCTGGCGAGGAGAGAAACGTACGCAAGTCATTTCAGTTGAGCTCAAGGATGATGGAACGTTTTAATAGACCTTAATAATTATTAGCTCACCGTCTACTCTTCGCGGATTCGGGGAATGCAATGCGAGGTCAATTAGTACTTTGTTGAATTGGTGGGACCATCCGGGGAACTGAGTTACGTAGCACGTGTACATTACCATAATTACAACTGTCAAGGTAAGACGTCGGTCGGTCGGTCAGCCAAGCCACCATGGGGTACCGGCCATGAAACGGGCGGTGCATTGTTATATAAACAATCTTGTTCATATTCACAGAATTTCTAGCAATAAATTCTTTTCAAAATGACTAATTAGCTAGTTTCACATAAAAAAGGCTAATGCTGTCGAATAATAAGCTTGATTGAGATAACCTCAGCATTGAATTCATTTCGTCTCACGCAGTAAATCACACACGGCATCGCAAACGCTCCTGTGGCGAAATCCCAGTGCTGTAGTCTCAAAGAATAGAACCACCGGGAGCGATAAACTGATACCCATCATTCGGAGTGATTCACCCAGATTTTTTTTTTCTTTGGCAAAAAATCTTCATGTTAGGAAGAAATGATGCAGAGCGTAGAGTAGCAGAACTACAGGATAAAAAAAAAAGAAGCTTTGCAAATGCTGTACGGCGACGGATGTGCATGTCAGTGTTTGTTTCGGAAAGCAACATAAACAACGCAAAAGTTTGTAATGAATAAGACAGGCGTAACGGTGGCTGAAGTGACCATGCTGTCGTCGTCACCAAGGAAGCGAAAGGCTAAACTAGAGTTACTGCATCTGTATGCTGTACACACCGCCTATATCATCGCCTATATATGCTACCTAAAGGTAGCATATATATAGTAACTTTAGACTAAACGGGGCTGCGGCGTCCTCTCTGGCCGAAATCGTAGCGCGTTCTCTTTCCCGCCCGCGCGTCAAGCTCTTAGCTTGAGCGGCGAGGTAAACACAATCACGACAAGCGATAATGATGCCACGACAATTACAAGCAAAGCACTTGGCGAACCTCGGTGGCTGAAAATCACCGTTAACTGCAATAATGTGAAAGAATGACAGCATACCGCGACAGTTAGGAAGTATAGCATCTTGTATTGCGCACACTTGCCGCTGCATTTAGCCGTGAATACTGACAACGCTATTCCGTTGTCAACTATCTTCTTCGAAAAACGGGCAGACCGTAAATGGACGTGGCGAAGTCCTAACGGCGAAATTAAAAATGAAATAGACTTCATTTTGTGCACTCACCCAGGCATTGTAGAGGGTGTAAATTAGTAGTGGGTAAGATCTGATGCCGTGACCATAAAATGGTAAGAGCTCTTATTCAACTACGCGTAGATTTAAGAAAGCAAAGCAATGAACTGATACGCAAGAAGTCAATGAATGAGCTAATGGTGAGAAGGAGACTACAGAAATTCAGAGTTTCGCTTCAGAATAGATTCGAGCCTCCAAACGAGGTAATTGACGTTAGCGTTTAACACAGTGAACGGTAATCTTACTGGTATCATTAAAGAGTGTGCAATGGAAGTCGGAGGTACAGACATGACACTGCAGACCAAAAATCTCAGGAGAGAAAAAATCTCATTAAGAAACGACAAAACATGAAAGCCTCAAATGCAACCGACAAATTAATCTAGTGGAGCTCTCGTAGTTAATCAATAGGCGTTAGGTAGCCGACATCAGAAGGTACAACATGGAGATAATTGAGCAGGCTGTAAAAATTGGCAGAAGCTAAAAGCTGCGAAAGCAAACGTGTGCATAGGCGAAATTCGTATGTATGCATTTAGAGAATTATAGCTCATTACCACTGAACTGCACGCTGAAAGCAGAAGAGTATAGGTCCGAGAATTAATATGCACAAAACTAAAGTATACAATGTGCAACCGTCTCGGCACAAAACAGAACTTTGCGATAGGTGAAGAGACGCTGCAAGTTGTAAAGGAATATGTCTACTTAGGACAGGTAGTAACCGCGGAGCCGAACCATGAGAGTGAAATAACTAGAAGAAAAAGGGTAGGGTGGATAATATTCGGCAAGCATTTTCTAGTCATCAATGGTAATGTGCCACTAACCCTCAAGAGTAAGGTATATAACAGCAGCAACTTGCCGGTACCTACCTACGTAACCTGGAAGATCACAAAGAGGGTTCAACTTAAGTTTAGGACGACGCAGCAAGCAAGGTTTAGGACGACGCAGCGAGTAAGGTTGTTTTAAAGTGCTCATCAAGACAGCCTGCAAACAAAATTAGAAAAAGTTCAATGCCGTGCCGTCCACTTCATATGCACGAATTACCGCCGGTTAGATTCTGCCACGCAGATGTTGGAGTCCTGTGAACTGGAATCACTTGAGGCACGACGACAAAAGAGACCGGTTGAAAGCTCTTTTCAGGATACTGCAAGGACAACTAAAAATTAACAAAGATTTGTACTTAATAGTGCCAGGAAAACAAAGCAGTAGGGTTATCACGACTGTGTTTTAGTACCGTACTCTTGTCGGAGTGATGTGTTTCATTATTCTTTTTTTTTTCAGCTGCGATTGAGCTTTGGAATGCGTTGCCAGGCATTGCTGTAAATGCCAGCGATCTTTGCCAATTCGAAAAATTGTTGGGCATGTACTTGAGTGATGGAGATGCCAGATGATTAGCCTGCATGTTTCCTTGGTTTGAGTTTCTTTGTTTTCTTTCTCCCAGTTGTGTTTATAATGCGCAGCCAGGCATTGCTGTAAATGCAGGCAGTGTTTGCCTATTTGAAGTGAGTTACACATGCATTAATTCACTGCGCTACTACCTGACATAGATGTATATTGGTTGTCTTGTTTTATTGGTTGTACCCTCCCTGTAAGAACCCTCAAGAGAGAGCTGACAGTATTATGAAATAAAAAATAAATAAAAAAATAAATATAACAGCTGCATCTTGGCGGTACTCAGGAGCCCTAATCTCCGATACCAACAGAAGGCAGTCCAAAGGGCCCAAGAACTGGCGGAACGCCACCACGTTCTCGTTTCGACCCGGGCGTCACCTGCAGTATTGGCTGCTGGGATGTCCCTCGTGGACACCCTGGTGGCTTAAACTCCTCAGGACCTTTTAAAAAAGTTCTTGACCGACCGACCGACCGACCGACCGACCCGCCGGTACTTACCTACGGAGTAGAAACCCGGAGGCTTACAAAGAGGTTTCAGCTTAAACTGAGGACGACGCAGCGAGCGATGGAAAGGGAAAAATGATAGGTGTAACCTTAAGAGACAAGACGAGAGCAGAGTGTGTCAGGGAACAAATTAGGGTTAAGGATATCATAGTTGAAATCAAGAGAAAATAAATCGACATGGGCCGGGCACATAGGCAAGATAACCGCTGGTTATTAAGGATACCCAGAGAAGTCAATCGCGCGAAGGGGAGACAGAAAGTTAGGTAGGCCGGTGAGATTAAAACGTTCGCAGGTATAGCGTGGCAGCAGGAGGCACAAGACCGGGTTGATTGGCGGATCATGGGAAATGCCTTTGGCCTGCAGTGGGCGTATAGTTAGGCTGACGATGATGATGACCAACAACGGGCAGCAAGGCGCTCACTGACGCGAAAGCTAAGGCCGCTTTCGTGCAGGTTTCCTCATTTATTCAGGGTGACATCGCGAAAGAATGTCCCCGTGCGATAACACGAAATCCTGCTCGAAGCAAGGCGCCAGCCAGGAGCACTTGTTGCACCATAGCTATCAAAGTAATGAGGGGCTGCTGTCTGCGAACACTGCAAATAAATTATTGAAAGCAGTGGCACAGCGTTTTAATGTAGCCGGTCACAACTTTGACGATCTCAAACCACGGCCAGGCTAGACTGCACCTACGCGATTGTTTCTTTAGAAGCGAGCGCGCCGGTGCAGTCTATCTCGGCCGGGCTCAAACGTTACTTCAGCCAAACTCCCGCTCCACAAGGGAGTGAAAATATGCAGTCGTGGCTTATTTACAAGTTCAACGCACTCCAGCCAGTGGGTAGAAACGTTTCTGAGGGAGCTGTTGAGTTCATTCGGTATGGTTCATTGATTGATGGTCGATATGTGGGGTTTAACGTCCAAAAACCACCACATGATTATGACAGACGCCGTAGTGGAAGGCTCCGGAAATTTCGACCACCTGGGGTTCTTTAACGTGCACCCAAATCTGAGCACACGGGCCTACAACATTTCCGCCTCCATCGGAAATGCAGCCGCCGCAGCCGGGAATGCGAACCCACGATCTGCGGGTCAGCAGCCGAGTACCTTAGCCACTAGACCACCGCGGCGGGATATGGTTCATGCACAACAGAAACCAGTTAGAGTTAAGTCCTGCTTGTAGGAATTTCAAACCCTACCATTG